ATGGATAGTTGGTTGGACATAACAAGACTTTATAAGACGTCACCTTCTGCTATCAAAACTTGTGAAGCCCATTTCCTCTATTTCTTTTTTATATTTTATGACATGACTGAAAATGAAAATAATGGTCAGCTTAATGGAAAACATCCATTAGTTTCAGTCCTGCTTTGCCCTTCAACAATGTCAAACAGCTGATTTAAAGATGCCTTCTGCCTGGTATGCTTCTCCAAAAACACATTTTATTGATTGTGCGGTTGTGTGGTTTAAGCTTTCAGTTTTTTATAGCTACTTGATAATACATCTTCAGTCAGACATTGAACGTGTCTGCACTGATATACTGTAGGTTGCTGCTCTGTAAAACACCAGGGACATTCATTTACATATATTTATCATAGTTTTATTTTCTTCAGCTGGACAGGCTGAGTGGACAGCAGTGCTGAAATGACTAGCTGATAATAATTATATTATTATCTGTGATTAATAGTCATTCATTAAGTAAAAATACCAACTTTTATCAGATTAAACTTCTCAAATGGGAGGATTTTTTTTGCTTAATATAATAGAAAGAAATTTTTATTTTATATTATTTGGGTTTTGGATTTGTTGGTTTGAAAGAAGAAGCTATAAAGAGTCAGGCTAAGTCTTACAATAAACAGTAATATAAGTTTACAGTGGTGTTCCGGCTCCAAAGCATGTGTGTCAACAAAACCTTTACAGATAACTAGCTCAACAGACTTTCTTCATCTTCGATGGTATCATTGTGCTATCACTATTACAGTCAATTTACTTTATGGTATTTTTATGTCCCGTTTTTTATCACTATAATAACATTTAAAACCCCACTGGAAGCAGTTTATAGTTTTATACAGTAGTAGTAGCAGCCTCTACAGTATTTCATTGAGAAGTTATGGAGCCAGTAGGTGAGTGGAGTCCTCAGTGAAGCAGAGGTAATCGGGGCCTTTCACTGCTGCAGCTACATTTCACTGTCTCTCTTTGAATTCGTGCAATAACCTAAAAGCTGTGGACACATTTTAGCTCAACCTAGCTGCAGGCTGAAGCAACACAGATCAAGAGTCAAACCACATCAATAATTCAACAATATTACACACGCACAAAGGGCTGCTACCACCAACAGGCCAACTTACTGCGAGGAGCCGGCGAATCTAAAGAGTTGTGCGACCTACAAAATGAAAAAGGAGGCTGTTGTCGAAAAAAAAAAAAAAGAAAGAAAGAAGGCAGGACAATGGGAGACTCCCAGGCCCCACTGGTCGCGTCCTGATGCCAAATTATCCAAATGCTCGTTCCCCTTTCTTCCCCCTTTCCTTTTCCAAACGGGACGCCCTCACTGTAAATGAATGGACGCACTCAATTTCCCACCAGTCGTTCACCGAGGAGAAAATTCAAAACCTTCGGCCTACACTCAAACTGGACGCGCTCGCTCCCTCCAGACGCATCACTGCCCGGATCCTTTTTTTTTTTTTTTTTTTTGAAAAATAAAAATCCTCTTGTAACATTTAGAAACACAACAATCCTCCCACGTTTCAAACAGAGCTACGTGGCCTCGGTGGGAACAACAATAGGGCCAATGAGGGTCCTAAACTTCCCTGCGGTTCAAAAAAAAAAAAAAAAAAAGAGAGAGAGAGAGAGAGGGAGAGAGGGAGAAGGCGACCATCGCGTCCTCTCGACTATTGTTTGGGGAAACCGGAGATCTCCGGCGCCCCAAATCCTCCACTCCGTCTCCGCAGCGCACGAGCACCCACAACCCACCGGCTCCGGCAGCACGAGCAGCAGCGTTTCAAGACAATTTCCACACAAAAATACTACTTACTTATTCCAGATTGTCCATTCAGGTATTTTCTCACTTTCCACTTTCTTTCCACTCAGCCGTAGCACCGTGCGCCCCGCCTCCGCTCCACATTGGCCCCTCCTCTGTTTTCCCCTGGGGAAGGGAGGGAGTGAGTGAGGGAGGGAGGGGAGGGGAGGGGAGAGGAGAGGAGGGGGAGACAAGGCCTGTGAAACCGTGTGGTTCAGCCACAACACATTTCTACCACCGCACAGTTATATTTCTCTGTGTGTGTGTGTGTGTGTGTTCTCACATGAAAGGACCGGACAGGATAATGTCAGTCAGTAAGTGGTTCCCTTGGCTCATAAAACAAAGGAACCCAAACCCATCACCATCAAGTGTTTGGCAGTTTACTCTGACTTTTATGAGACTGTAAAGAAACATTCAAGACATTTTTAAAGACGTTTTGATTCAAAGTTTGGATAAAAGAGCCACTTTTCTGTGATACTGCTGGACAACATACATCACTGGTTCCCAGTCTTTATTGGTTTGTGACTCCTTAAAACAAACAGTCTCTCCTTGCAACCCCCCTCCTCACCAGTTGTGACCAGTTCATCAAGACTGGAAGATTTTCCTCTCACTTCACACTTTTTTTAAATATTGAAATAAAATTCGTCAGTAATTTGCATTGTACATTGTCTTCCACCTCCACTGTTATTTAATTATTAATTGTTTTATTTCATCCTTGCACTTGTCACTTTCAAATATTCCGAACTCCTCACTTCTTCCTCCACAGCACAGCTCAATATTTCACTTCAAATGTTTATATCCCATTTCAAAGCTGTCAAAACTGTCTGTGATTTTAGTTTGATTTCAGTATTAATTATTACTTCACTTTTGCTGTTTTTGTTCTTATTCCTCTGTGTTGCATTTATGGAGCAAACAGCAAGACTCATTCTTTGTATTCTCGCATGTTTAGCTAATAAAAGAGGGGGAAAAAAAACAAGATTAGAGGAAGTGTATAAAAACAAACATACACCTTTGTGTTGGATAAATGTTTTATTTCTGCTCTCCTTGAGTGCCGTGGCCCCTGGGTTGGGAACCACTGCTGTAGGTTAAAGTTTTTAAATCTTGAGCCCCTTTATTCTAACTAACCTACTGCACTATACAAAATATCACACAATTAGAAATATTTATAAGCCGCCATAAGCTCTGCACATCTGTCTGCACATTATCTACTCAGCTGTACAGTTCACTGTGCGCCTCTTACTGTACACAATCCTCTGATACTTTACCTCAACACTTGTATCCTTACAACATAAACATTTTGCTTCGCATTTTGATTTTTCCACTCAGTTCTATATTTCATCTCCACTTTCATTTACTTACAGGGCTTCTACTATTTGTGTTTATACTTTTCTTTTCCCATTTTTAAAATGTTTATTTTTCCTGTTTTATGGTACTTGAACTTTGCACAGTCTATGGAGATGCTGACTAAGCATTTCACTGCTGTTGTATATGTGATGGATGAGTCTTTGTATCTCATTAATAGCTCAAAACAAATATTGTAGTTCTTAATTTTTAAGGGAGAGGGAGATCATTTGTGTTCTTTTCAGGTGACTGATCAAATCATACTGTTTGATCAAATACAGTCATACAATTATATACTGAAGCCTGAAAGTTTCATCAAGATAAGTGGAAAAGACCCATGTCTTCATAACATGTAAGGATGAAACTTTAGACTTTCCACAGTATTTCTCTGCACAAGCAGCTGATTGAGACCTCGACTATTTCACCCCCCTTTAAAACTGAATTTCAGATTTAAAATTTAATTAGGTAAATCAAATACTTTTACAGGGTTTTAGCCAAGATTAATGGTTCCCGACCTGCGGGTCAGGACCGCTCCAAGGGTTCACAAGATGATTAGCTGGATAAGAACAAAGAAAAAAAAAACATACAGCAGTCCTTCTGTTTCTTTTTTGTCTTTTCTCTGCTCTTTGCTTCCTGTGAAATACTGGATACTGGAAGGGGGAAAAACAAATCACTGACACACTATGTTTAAGGGTTGAGAAGAGGTGATTGAGGACATTTTAGACTCTCTGTGGTTTGCGAACAGCGTTTTTTTTTTTTTTTAAGTGCTTTGCCGAAGTGACAGGAGCTTCTGAACTGTGTTTGTGGAAAGTGAAATCCCAATATCATGGCCTCACTTCACCATTTCATTTCTCATGCTGCTGCATTTTGTAAAGGAAGCCTTTATTAGAGATAATTAACAGATGACTTTTGTTGAAGTATCTACTGTATATTGTTGTACCTCCTCTACACACCTCCTGCCTGGTTGCTTATTCTCTATAAAAGGAGGATGACATCATCTTGCTGTGCTCTGACAAAGGCTGGTTTGCCAAAACTTGTCAGCATCATAAGAAAAATAAGCGGAGGCCATACTTTCCTAATTCTTTGTGTTATCAAATCTCATTTCTTTGTTTTCTGTTTATGTCAAACCACTAAAAGAGAAAAACTGGAAAAGAAGCAATGTTTATTTCTTCATCAAGGCATCACAATTGGTCATTGATTCCAGCCAGTAAATGAACACTCATCAACAAAAATTAAAACCTCTTGTGTGTTGTCACAATTTTTCAGAAGTTATGATTAAAAGAAACCTTGTGGAAAAGATACGAACCGAGAAAGATGCACAGCCAGAGTACCAGCGCATGTTCACTGTCAAAACAGAAGATTTTCTGACTGGATCTGAAGATTTTGGCAGCTGATCGATATGAAATAAAGTGTTTGTCAGCCACTCCAGGATCTTGTAGATTTGGGAAACTCTTCTTCTCCACACAAATATCACAATATGTGAACTTGCAGTGGGTCTACAACTACATATAAGTGTAGTTATACGTGTACTGGGATTGAATAATATAAATATTTTTGATAATTTTTCTAAAATTCACACGATTTTTTTCAAATTCCCAGGACCTAGAACTTCTCAAAAAAAAAAAAAAAAAGAAACCTCACCACACATTTCCAGATTTTGCAGAACCTTGAATTTAAATGTTACTACTTGTTCACTGACTCATAAAGTGGTTTCTCATCATTAGAGCTGAGTGATAAGTTAACTACAAGACAGAGAAGACGGCTACAGTATTGCACCATCGCAATCCTCATATTAAGCGTGCTCACTCACACTCACACACACGCACGCACACACACGCACACGCAAACACACGCATGCACACGCAAATACACACACTCTCACACATAATTGTTCGTACACACTGAATCACGTGGTCACTTGCCGACACACTCGGTCACATTTACATATTCACAATCATACACACACACACACACTCAAATAAACAATGCTCATTGATTAGTTACTATCCCATGACACAGTAAACAAAACATTCTTTGACAATAAAAAGGGAAAAAAAATTAAAGAAAAATAAAAGAAATATAAACATCATTCCCACTGGGAAGGCCCTCTGGTGCCTGACCAGTGTTTTTTGACCCTGATGAGTCCAGATCCATCCAGGCCAATCCAGTCCGGTCCAGTCCAGTCGTCATGTCACGCCTCACCTGAGTGAGTCCATAAACACAGTCGTCGTCGTCGTCGTCGTCCTCTAATAACCCCCCCCCCACTGTCTAACCCGTCTGTGTACCTACTCGTGGTGTGTTGTAAAGAAAAAGGACCTGTCCATGTCGGGTTGGGATAGAAGTAGTAGTAGTAGTGATGGTAGTAGTAGTGGTCGTGGGCCTGTGTCGCCGCCGCTCGGATCAGTAGGTGGCGTTGGTGGGTTCCCTCCCCGAGCTGAAGAGTATGTCGGCCTTTGAGCTGATGAAATACGTCAGCAGGAAGGACGTGAGCAGCACGCCGATGCCCACACCCAGCGTCAACATCTGGAAGAGGAAAAAATTACATGGAAAAGTTAAAGGATCATACATCACTGATTATTTGTCACCGGTTTTGATTAAGTTTGTTTTCCTTAATCATATTTTTTATTGGTGCAAAACAACACATTCAAGCACCATTATTTTTTTTCTCTCCCTCTCAATAAATCACAATATATGTCATCGAAATACATAGCAATAACAAAAAGCTGTCAGTTTCTCTCTGCAGTAATGTAAGCTGTCATGTCATGTCTTGTTATGTTATGTTGTGTTATGTTACACCTCGTTATGTTCTTACTGTCTTTGTCTTCATGTTGTTTCACCAAATACATAAAAAACAACACTGCCATACACCTTCTAAAGTTGTTGTGGTGAACCTGCTAACGAACAGTGCCCTATTTAATCACAACATCCAGCAGACACGTAGCAACATCAGTCTTTATTTGGATCTGGATAAATCTGAGGATTGTCTCTGATGCTGACGAGCAAGAGGTTGGGGTTACCTCCAGTTCATGACTGGCCACCAGGAATATGCGTCCTTTGATGAACTTCCACCTGGACTCCGTCCACGTTGAATAATCTTTGGAGGTGTACTGCCGCAGGTCAAACGCTGGGGACACGGCTTTGGAGAGACGAGCGGTGGAGCGGACACAGAAACCCTCTCTCTGTGTGCTGTTGGGAGGCGCCGCCCCCTGAACCCACATGTAGTAGTACATCTGAGAGGGAGGAGTCAGGAAAGGTCACAGGGTGGTGGAGAGAGGAAATTAATATATTATTCCGTCTTTATTTCTTTTTAAAATGACCCTACTTAACAAAAAATACATTATTAAAGCCAGACTTTAACATCGTGATGTCACTTTGTCTTCTTTTATATCTCGTGTTGTCCCCTCACCCCTGTTTACACACCACAGGTTTATAGCTAATAACATTTCTTCAGCTGAAATGAATCAATCAAAATGAGTCTGCAACTGTTTTGATAATTGATTATCGATCACTTAAATCCTTTTTACAAGCAAAAATACCAAAGAAAATTGAGAAAATAACTAGTTAATAAAATACTTGATTACTTGATAATGAAAGTGAATGAATGAACATAATTAGTTGCAGCTGTCAACACTTCTCTTAGTCCCTCCATTATANAATCAAAATGAGTCTGCAACTGTTTTGATAATTGATTATCAATCACTTAAATCCTTTTTACAAGCAAAAATACCAAAGATTTACTGGTTTCAATGTGTCAAATGTGAAAACCTGCTGCTTCTCTTTGATTTAAATGAAAATAAATGAAATATCTTTGGATTCTGGACTGTTTTAGCAATTTTGAAGCCGTGACTCTGGAAACTTCAGACTGACATGTCTCTCTACTTTGTGACTTTTTATAGACAAATAATTATTTGAAAAATTGAGAAAATAACTAGTTAATAAAATACTTGATTACTTGATAATGAAAATGAATGAATGAACATAATTAGTTGCAGCTGTCAACGCTTCTCTTATTCCCTCCATTATACTGTTTTTTCTGTCTTTTTAAATTTCCTTTCTTAAAGGTATGTTCTCGACCAGTCTTTTTTTTTTGTTGTAATATAATTTCTCTCAGATTGAATGAAAACCAAATCTAATCAAGGTAATTCAATAACAGGGAGACGACCATATGTCCTACATGTTTGCTCTTTTTGTCCTCCTCATCCTCCCTCTGGCTCTGGCAGTTGTCCTTGGTGACGTTGACGGTGCTGCCGGTCAGGTTAGCCAGCAGGTACTGGACCAGGAGAGTCGGTTCGCTGGACTGCTGGATCACGCCGACGTAGAAATTTAGGGGCCTGTCGACTGGGAGGAAGAAAACAGAAGACATTGAGTTTCCTCTGCTCTTCCCCCACATGGGTAATAATAAAAGGTGCCCATCTCACGCAAACATACTCAAGTACAATTGTGACATTCATCATTTCCCCAGCAGCATCAAAATGATTGATTATATATTAACAGTACAATTAACAATAGCAATTATTTATCAACACTTTTTATGAATCTAGTTTAGTTTGTTTTTATCCCGACTTACTCAGATGACTCATCAAGTCGGGGGAGACTATTTGCTGGAACCAGGAGTTATTTGACCGGACAAGGAAACCGTAGAGCAGCTGGGTCACCTGAGAGACAGAAACCAGAAACAGACTTCAGTGTCACTCCTGCAAGAGGAAACACTCACTGAGAAAAATGTGTCACAGAAAAGCACAAGTAAAACCTTTGTTGTTGTTTTTGAAATAATGATAAATTATTTAAAATGCACATCTCAAACTGAAGTAGAAAGTAAATATATAAGAAGAAAGTAAAGTAAATAATAAATCAAAAACAAGCACAACAAACAAAAAATGATCTAAAGGCATCAGTGTCAGAAAAGTGGAAGAAATACTCTTCAGGGTGAGGACGGCTGTGATATTTCTGATATATGTCAAAGGAAAAGGTGGAGAGGAGACGGGGAAAAGGTACTTCATATAGAAACAATGAACGGGTAGATGAGCTGGAAAGCTTGAAACCTACGTATTTACTCAAGAAATAAAATCAAACAGTCTTACTATTTGAGGATCTGCCTTAATGTTGCTCAGCAGGGACTCTGCTCCTCCTGCCTGTTTGTACAGAGCCCGAGCAACCAAGGTGGCAACTTCAGTCAAAGCCTGAAAGAACCATGAGGAGAAATAAAGAAAAGATCTATTAGAGCTGCTCCACAATATCTGTATTAAGTTCTGGAAATAGAAGCATCAAAAATGCAAAAAACACATTATACACATTAAATATTGAAAGCAGGATCATATTACATATTCTGAATTATCCTATCCTTATAAGAAAAAAAAAAAAAAAAAGGAACATATTGGTGTTTCATCCAAGAGAGTTCTTATTACCAGCCACAAGAGCAGGCCGGGTTGTGCATTGCATTGGTAGTAATCGGTGATTAATAGCAATACCTTAGCAGTGTCGGTGACAAATTCCAGTTGCTCCTCTGGCGTCAGGTTTGGTGGGTAAGTTATGTTCAGGTTTTCTCCGTTATCATACATACTCTCATAGAACCTGCACAGAGAGCAGAAAAACAACAAGTTACAGATTCTACCATCATGATGAATAGTTATAGTGTGTAGCTCTGTAGCTTAAGAATCCCAGAGTCACCTGTTGGCGTACGCAGACTGGTGATCCTCAAGAACAACACCGGGGATTGGCCGAGCTCGCAGGAAACGCTGGAAGGACGAGGGCGGGAGCGGCTGAGAGAAATTGGGCGCTTCTGTCGAGACACTTAAATTTGTGGCGGCCAAGCGCAAGTTATTGATGAGCTCCTCCACCTGAAACAATACATTGAGAAAAAAAAAAAAAAAAGGTTATACATAATACACAAGTTGTTTTTGTAGTTTCCTCTTTTACATCCAGGACTGTCATCTAATATTTTTAAATTTGTGGTGGTTTTTACAGTTAATCATCAACTCAGAAATCCCTTAATTTAGCCCCTCAAGTAACATCTTTTTTTTTTTTTTTTGCAGATTTCATAATATTTCCCACAACAACAGTGCTGAAGGACATTTTCCATATAGTTTTCAATATTTGTTGAAGCTATTTCAATTTTTGAGGCTTTGGAGTAATAGAATTTTGATTTTGTTTTGATTTATTACAATTTAATTATCCTCTCCATTAGGTTCAATTAATGATTATTATGCTAAATATTTAAAACCCCATTTTCTCCAGGAGTGACGGGACATGTTTTTCAGTGGTGGCAGATCAGTACTGAATGGGAAGAAAGGAAACTTAAATATACAAACCTCTTTATTGACACTGCTGTTCCTCCGAGACACGGGGTCAGTGTGAAGCCACACTCTGGAGTCAGCACGAAGTCCCACCTACGGTGAGAAAATTCAACAAACTGACACACTACACTAAATATACACACACAAACATGACGTATAGCTCACACAGTAAGAAAAGATCAAGCAAATCTCCTTGCAGTGAAGTTATTTTAAAGACGCATTCCCCTTCAAATCTGGTCGTAGGTGCAGGTCGATGCACACAGAAGTTCCTGGAAAAGTCGACAACACACACCTGTCCAATCTCCAGCACTGAGTGAACATTGTCCAGGTCCACTGCAAACTGATTGTTCTGCATGTCATACACCATCCTGGAACTGCCGATGTAGTCAAAGGCTTCCTGTGGTCAAACAGTCAAACAAACAGTTCAAAGAAACATGAGTAAGGCTGGTAGCGCACTCCAGACTAAATCTAATTTAGCCCGTTGATCGAACACAGTGGTGCATACAACAGGGTGTAAACAACTGACCCCTTGGAAGAAGGTGTAGAGGATGGTGCGGTTAGGCGGGGCCTCCTGGGTGGGGTTACGCAGAGCGTGAGCGGCCGCCAGCAGGGTGACGAACCCCGAGACTCCACTCTCTGCTCCTGGAGCGACGTTGGAGAAAAAAGACCTGCTGTCCAGCTGCAGAGGAGAGGAGAGGAGATCCATCAAGCAGGGATCTTATCTAGGTAAGTAGTCCAGTTCTACTTGTCATGACCTGTTTTCATTATTCCATAAGTAAAAATGTGGCCACAAACTCCACAAATGTAGACCATCTTGTCTTTTGGTTTACCTACAGCACAATACAATGTACTCAGTGTAATGTAGGGCTGTGACTAATGATTATTTGAAGTAATCTGCTGGTTATTTACTTAATTAACTGACTCATCTTGTGGTTAACAAAATGTCCGAAAATGGTGAAAGTGCCCAATAAAATTTCCTTGGCTTGGACTTCGCTTGAGTGAGATCACTGCAGATACTGGGAGCAGAAGGTTTAACGCTTTTCACAATCTTACATGAGCATCTGCACAATAATAGGTAACAACTGTTGGACTGTAAGGCAACATTGGAAGGAGCCTATTTTATCACTTTTGCTTAAACTCAGAAGGACTCTTTCCGGCAACTCACCCTGGCTGCTGCGATGACTACACTCTCCCACATCTTGTGGCCCTTGGCTGTGTTGTTGAGCGGCCTGGTGGACGCCCAAACATTATAGTCACCCAATGGGTCACAGACCATCTCTGAAAAGCCAGACAGAATAAAAAAAAAACAAAAAAAACAAAAACGGACATCGGTTAGAATTGAACTGATTTTCTTATTAGATTCTCTTCCTGACAAAATTGTGATATACGCTGCTGCTTATATCACGCATACAGTTTATTCATGTTGTGTAAATACCTGGGCTGATGCTGAAGTTAATGTCATTTCTTCTCATGCAGGTGGCTGTGTCGGTGACGGCTGACATGTGGGAGTAGAGCTGCATAGCGCACAGCGGGTACTGAGGAGTGCTGCCGTTCATGGGACGGTTGTGGTCCAAGTAGCACTGGGAACAGAGAAAAGAAAAGCATACAAATATGAAATCTCTTTGTGTGTCTTTGTTTTTTTTGTTTTTTTTACAGCTATAGAAACCAAGATAACTTTATTAAAATTTTCGTGAGTCACAAATAGTTTTCATTCATTAGAACAGGTTGAAACATATACAACTGGGTCTGGCTCCCTGCTCACGAGGACATTGGCACGTTTGACCACAGTAACACTAACAACCCTGTCTGGGACTAAATTTCTCATTTTGATACAGCAGCTGCTTTGGGGATCAAACCTGAAACTGTCACTTTACAGTTTCCCTCGTCTACCCTGACATTTTATCAGGCCAGACACCAACCACAATCTTTTAAACTTGTGGTTTATGTTAAATAAAACATAACATTTCTGTTATGTTTATGTGTTATGTGCCTATATGTGCTGGCGGGTCCTGCTTTGTAGAGTCCAAGTCAAACCTCCCCCTGGGGATAATAAAGTATCTATCTATCTATCTATCTATCTATCTATCTATCTATCTATCTATCTATCTAACATGAATACAACCTCTGGACTGAAACATTTCAAAAAACACAAAGCCACCAACACAGTCCGTCACAGAGCAATATAAAAGAACTTTAAATGCACAGTCCGCCATTATCAGTGAGCTTGAACTGAAAGCTGAGAAAAAGACAGAACTGAAAGCTGCAGGTCAGCAGCTCTGTGTTCGCTCTAATCTGTGAAAACATAACGCCCACTGAGGAATAGAGCCATTTGCATGCTTGTATGACCTCAGAGGAGGATGTCTAAAACCTATGTAATACGATCTGTGTGTTTTTGTCACATACAGTGGTGGAAAAGCAGCAAATGCTTTGTGGGTAGTGATAAATCATCTCCACATAATGTGCCACAACATGCCCTACATGAAGATGATCTCGAGTGCAGCTGAAACAGCTTCAGTGGCATCATTCCTAATCTCAACCGCCACTGAGACAAGTTCAGATCAGATTCTACTACATGAAAACCTTTCTGTTCTCCAACACCAGAGGCAACCGGAGAACTATTAGACAGCCACTTTGAGCAGTGAGAACAAAGTTGAACGATGCAGCACCTGTATGTACAAATGGGATTAACAGACAAAATATGTGCCGTTATAATTACCTGTCGTATGACCTGAGTGTCGTTGTCATCTTTGAGAGAGAAGATGGGGAAGTCAAACTCCTCGTAGGACAAGCCGTTTCCCAAGGGGTTCCACACTGTCACGTTACAGTGTGCCATGGCCGGATCGTAGGTATCCGAATAAACACCTGAGGGAAATACACAAGAGAAAAACATCAGCAGCCGCAACACAAAAGCAGGCACTCGTGAAGCGTGCACTGCATGAGTAAGTTTCTTCAAAGTAAATAAGTGGAAGTAAAAAACTCTCATGGTGTTTAGCTTAATGCAACTGAAAAGCATCTACAGTGTCTATAAAAAGTAGCACCCCCCTGGGACATTTCATGTTTTATTCTTTTTTATTAATTATTCATTTTTCTGTTGATCAGTATCAAAACAATATGTGTTCATACACAACAATGAAACGCTGTAAAATAATAAAACATGAAGCTTAGCTTTTTAAAGCCAACGTACTGTCTGACATTCTGTATTGTGTCTAATGCAAATCTTGAAAACATAAAAACTACAGACACATGTGAAGCCTTGAATTTAAAACCACCAGTAACTACAGTTACTTTTTAGATTAAGAGCTCATAAAATACTTATAATAGGTTAATAAAACATGATTCACCGTTATCATGACACTGCCCAACACTATAGAAAATACTGTGGCGCTGCTACGTCTACCTGAGTGAATACTTCCTCCATCCTTGGAAGAAACATAAAACACTGAGACATTAAATCTCTGCTGTGAGGACAGACACGATTAACTGGTGACACAGCAACGTTTCAGAAATCATTCACCTAACCTCAAATCTGAACCGACTACAGCTTGTGACTTGGAAGGATTCGCCTTCCTAGGATCATAAAACTAAAATTTATTCCTGTAACTCGGGTACTTCTGAAGGACGAGTCGTAGCTCGCAAATCCCCACCCACCTGTGTTCTCGTTGGGACAGGGGGTGTGTGGAGAGAAGCCCTCAGCTGGGTTTGCGTTTGGCACCACAACAGCGACGCCTGCCACCCTGCTGGAGCCGTTCTTCAGCTTCATCATGATGGATCTGACGGGTACACAGTCGGCACAGGGCGGGGGAGACGACACGAGTATAAATACAAGTCAGACATGGGTTTCAAACGTGGTTCAAGTTTCTTTCCTCAGGGTCAGACGGGTAAAATCTGCCAAATTTACTGCACATTACTGTAACTGACAACTTATGACTGACGTTTGAACTTCTCACCCATCTGCTACTCTAAACAGAAAAGATTTTCCATAATTGAAAGAAAGGTTAGGAATTACTGAAACTTACACTTACACTAGTTTAATTACTGTCTAATCCACTAATTAACTATTTTATATCAATTTTTACATGATAAGAAATAGTCAAATGTAATTTTTCAGTCTTCAAAAAAAAAAGAAGCTTCACTGTGTCAGTAGGTGTGCCCCAGAAGACAGAGAGCAAGATTAACTGTCATTAAGAATGACTGTAGCTGCTCCCTCTGCAGGGTGAGACATGTTAACTGTACCTGGTAAAGAGCGGGGACTCCAGGATGACCATATAAGGAGGATTGCGACCAGACCGCAGGACCCAGTCCAGGTTTTCCTCTGACTCCAGCACATGGAGGACACCCACATTACCTGACAAAGAGGCTGGAATCAGAAAGAGGAAATTAAGTATCAACATCCATGACACGATGTATAACAGCTGTATCAGAGCCTGTCTGTCCATGAGTGCCCACTAGGCCTCGTCTTATTACTGGAAAGGTTCTGGGATGAAACGTTTTGATGCAGCAAAGGCCAAACTTCTGCTGCTGTGGCTTTTGTAGTATGACAAAAGTTCACGCTTTATTCTTGCAGCTTTTGATAAGCAAGCAATTATTACAGACAGTGCCTGTCTTTATCTGCATCTTGTGGCTTTTGATGTTCTTTGGAAATTTGTTTCTAACCCTCGGAGCCACAAAGAAAATGTGCATCTCCAAAGCACAAAGAAAATTCTTAAAAAAAAACACTGCTTTTAGTAGATTTTGTAATAAGTTTTTTCCTACAAACAAGTGAAAGAAAGATGCAAAGAGGGGCTTGAAGACACACTGTACATTTAAGGCAGTGCAAACTGCAACAAACAAATGTAATGTTCATCCTGGACACTCATGATGAGCACTAAACATCTCTTTAGTTTGTTGCTTTACTCACACTGGCAGCCTATCTGATGTGTTGCATTGAGGAGTCGCACACATGGGACAGTGTTATTGAGTTCCACATAAATCTTCTTTTCCACTGAATTACAGCTGACACCTGCAAGGGGAAAAAAAGCACTGTAACAACTGAACGAGAGAACAGTTTGACATTGGGTCATATTTGTGATCAAGGCAACTTCATACAGAGGTAAAAAAACTTAGCCGTTTAAAAAGCCTAAAGTGAAAGTTGTATGTTTTATCTCTCACAAGTAAAAACACACAATGCTAATTTCTTGTTCGTATATGGATTTTATCATTCCAACTATTCCTGTTACATTTTTTGCATCTTGTTTGCATTCATTGAGAATCTCTTTACAAACGTTTCTTTCAAAAAATGATTATATATGGTAACCTGAGCAGCATGGTGTTACAGACACTGGAGAGACGGCCTTTAAGTGAACCTGGATTTAATCCCTGGTGCAGTGTCCTTGAACCAGATATCTGAGCTCTATTACCTCTAGGCATGTTGTTGTGTACCAGACTGTGACCTCTGACATGACATGGCAGGGAAAGTAAAATGACTGTGTAGGTCTAACTTGTTGCTCATTCAGTTTATCAAACCCTTTAACGCCCTAATGCAGCTACTGCCCATCATCAGCATGTTCTTGTAATTAATTAAAATGAACACAGTTTTCAAAGTGTGAAAATAACACTAGAACTCCTATTTAATAGTGTAATGCTGTATGACGGCCTTCCATTAAAAACATAAAGTTGTCAATAACGAGAGGCCAAATCATGGCTTATCAATGGTGAAGGTATTTCTGTCCCATAATATCTCAAAACATATAATCAATTTATAAAATATGATACTGTTGTATATATTTAACTGCCCAACATAATCTATAAAGTAATTAAAATGAGCTTCAACTCAACAAGCAGTAACATTAAAATGCTGCTCATGTATAAAAGCATCACTAATGATATTACAAATATAATTTCACTCTCTGAGAACCATTCTGTACTTTTACTTTAATACTTGAAGTACATTTTGCTTTTACTCCTTTCTGCTTTTAATCAAGTAAAATCTTGAATGTAGGATTTTCACTTGCAACAAATTATTTTTGTTATTTTTATTTAAGTAAAAGATCTGGGTAGATCTCCCATTACTGCTTTTTTCTATATTTTTAATGTATAATCTCAAATGTAGGCTGTACTCGTTTCTTAACAACTTGGCACTATATAAGAAAATAATGTGTCCTCTTACTTTAATGATTCAACGAGTGTTGTATATGAATTTCTCTTATCTGAAGAAAAAACACAGCTAGCCCCTTTCAAAAATATTGGCAATGTAATGCTGCTTTGTCCACACTAACATAGCTAAATGTTAAACTATAAGGATTTAACTCTTTTCAACTACTATTAAATAATTGTTAAAAATTAAAAAATTGGTCCACCTGTTGTTCCCACATCCTTTTTACACCAAAGCACACACAGCAACAGGACAAACGTGAAACAGAAACCCGTTTTAATTCGAATACATTTCTGCTTTGGTGAATCAGTTGTAAGCTACTTACAACTTACTTACTTGGGCACCCTAAAGATATGAAAGAGACTTAACTTGAACATTAAAACACTACAGAATATAAATATAATTTGGCATGAAGTTGTAACATCTAATCCCTTTAGCTTCGGGCGGCCGCAGCTCCGGAATCACGAGCAGTCACGCTGATGCTGAGTTACTCATATCAAGGGGGCAGACATAAAAGAGTCGCCGAAAAGACTTAATAAAAAGAGGCTTACGATAATTTCCGAAATTCCAGTTGATGGAAATAGGTTAAGGATTGTTGCAACATCGGACTCCATTGTAAAACTTGTATAAAAAGCCAGCAATGGAGATTAAAGCCGAACAAGGCTAGCCTAGCATTCGGCTAGCTCTGAGTACAAAGAAGTCCATCAAGCAAACCGACAGACACAAAAAAACCCTTTGTTCGTTAAAAAAATGGACCTACAGACACATTCAGCACTGTTAGGATACAACTTACCGATGAAAAACCAACAAACTAGTAAATGAATAATCCATTTGTTCGGTAGCGAATCCATCTTCCTGGTTTGAAAAGCTGAAAAACACAACAGGAAGTGTTGACATTGGAAACGTCCGGCTTCAGCTGTTCGGTTCCGCCCCAGAGAAAAGAAGAGACCTACCAAACCCAGTCTACGGTCTCCGGTAAAATGGCACCTTTGGGTTCGTTATATTTTTTCTGTATTTTTTTTTTATTTTTTTTTTACCTTCAATTCAACTAAGACATAAATATCTGCAACAAACTAAAATTTCTCCTCCAAACACGCCACCACATTTTACAGGAAAAAAGTCACACAATCCAAGGAAAGAGACAAGTCTGTACTCACTTTATCACCGCGATGACTCAGTCCTGTGGTGCACTTTGATTTTTCCTGTAGCACTTTCATATACACAGCAAATCCACCCTCCTTCTTTTTATTAACCACAAAGTCTAACACCAAGAGCATCAATCACACATCAAAAACACCACAGGAATCAAAACATTTTCATTCAATCACGGACTTTTTATTTTTCCACCAAATACACAGAGCAGTGCTGCTCACTTTGAATTATTCAACTCATACAAGTCAGAAGAGAGAAGACAGTTAGGTTTACAGCTCTAATAAAGCTACAGCACAGAAAGGACGCAGCAGCAGTTACAAGAAAAAGCTTTTTAGCAGGATATATGGTGCATGGAATTAAGATTGTTGAAAGGATTTAATAGGTTTCACACCACTGTGAGCAAACATATCTATGCTTTAATTTCTCATGTCAATAATTGTATTATTTCTACAGAGTGCGGAGGTGTTTCGCTGAACAGATTCTTCTTCTCCACGTCCTCTCAACGGAACTGAAGTGGACTCACACGCAGACCGATCACATCCTTACCAATCTCTGTCACCTGGAAAATGAGGTGAAATGAAAGGTTAAAGGTTACAAGGGGGAAACAGTGAATAATATAACCACTAGCTAATCTATTTCTCTATTTGGTGTTTTGTTAGTATTTTAATGAATATACCCACACAGCCACCAAGATGCCCCATAGTTAAAGTGCTGGACTACATAATATGAGGTGTTTCTACTTTTTTGTCCTTCATTGAAAAGTAGACTTTATGGCAGAACAGTTTGGATTATGTTAGACTGTACCGATGTACCTAATAAAATGGGCACTGAGTGAAAACTTTCATCTCTTAGTGTATTGAATCAACAACACTTGCTTCTAAATTGTGCATCTGTCGCTAATATTGAGACTAATTTTTTTTATCTGTCTGGACCTACCTGTGTGACCCTGCAGATTTGGCCTTTGTATGTAGGACAGTAGCAGGCTCCAGACAGAGGGCACTTCTCAACAGGGCGTCCACGGTACAGGGGGACAAAAGAGGCAGCGCACAGGTCAAATGGATTGTGGGGGTCATAGTTCAACTGGTGGGCGTCTGTCAAGGTCTTCTCACAAGCAGCCAAAATCTTGCGGGTCTGAAAGGCAGGGAAAGATTCAACGTAACGATAAGAGATGAGAAAACCGTCATGTTCTATCCATTTTAAAAATGAAGACTTTAATATCATATCCAAGTCAATTAATCTATGGATGTCGGACAACCAACCTGCTGTGCAACATCTGGCTTCGGCCCCAGTTCCAGTAGGCGTCGTGCAAAGCCGGCAGCTGTCTTGAAGTTACGCAGTTTGAAGAAGAGGTTCAGAGCTGTACGCAACACCAGCACCATGTGGACGGGCTGGAGATTACAGTGGGTGAAATAAGCAGCCATCTGCAAGGGAAAAAAAACACACACACACACACATCAGAAAATGAAGCTGAGGAATGAAACAAATGTATCATAATTAATCAAGAGGTCTAAATTTAAGACTATGACAACAGCTTTGATATTCAATTAAGGCAAAGCCCAGATTTTTACCTCACACAGCCTCTTCTGCTGTTCCAGTGTGTCTTTAGGCAGCTTCTTCCTCTCTGTCTCCATGGTCAGACCCACTATGTACTCTCTGCAAATTGTGATCAGCTGCTGAGCCTGAAACACACACAAATCCCAATCACAAAGGCGAACCAAGCACATTTAATACACTCACATTTCTAAGTGTACATTTGAACTGACTGCAATTCAAAGTAGGTCCGGTGCTCACCTCTGCAATTTCCTGCTTGTTATCAACCACCAGCAGGGGCACAGAAAGCAGGATGGCTCTAAAGCGCTCCACAGCTTCCTCAAAGCGCCCAGCAGTGGTCAGCTGGTAGCACTGCTGCAGGCGGGAGATGAGGTCGGAGAGGCGCAGGCCCACGGCAGGCAGACCCTGCTTCGCCCCACAGTCCTTAAAAAAATGTATTATATTTATGATTTATTAAAAATTTTATTGCAAAGCGAACACCTACAAAGAAAACTAGACAATAAATGTAAGTCACTGTAAAAACCAGACAAACCTACTGTGATTGTTATTAAGAACAAAAGTAACAGCTGTACCTTCCAGTTCCTCTGGGGATGGCTGCGCAGGCAGGGCAGGGAAGGCAGTGCCAGGTAACAGGTGCGGCCTCTGGACAGAGTCTGCATGAACAGCGACTTGTATGGGCCAAAGTTCACAACTCCCACCTGGTCGTGGAGCAGCTGTGGTACAGAAGGGGAACAGTAAATATCACTAGAATTTGTAAATGACAAAAATGATATCCAATTAGTGACTGGCCAAAACCTCAGGCAATTATATATACACTGTTTATTTAAAAAAAAAAAAAGAGTAATATAAAATAAAAAGTGAAAAATACAAATTGATATCACGTTGATAACATACTCTCATGGCTGTTTCGAAGGAGCCAGCCAGGACGTGGTCCACTGGCAGCTGGGAGTTGTTGCACCACATCTGGGTCGGACTCATGCCCTTGGTCGGTGGGACAAAGAAGCCATCTTCTGCTCCTCCACCTGCACCAGCTGGAATGTCCTGATGGTTAGAAACAAGAGAAAGATGTTGTAATGAGACAATTCAACATTTACCATCAACAGTGAGCTACACCGGTAACCGGTCCTGAAAGGATTTGTATCCCTGTTTCAATCCTGAAAGGATTTGTAATGATGAAGCTCCTCTCACCAGCTCTGGAGGAAGGTCCAGGTCTTCCTCCACCTCCCAGCCTCCTCCCTCCTCTCTCACCACTCCTTCATCCCCTAATCCTTCCTGGGCATCCATGAAACCATCTGAGACACAGAGAATAATGGGAGAGAGAATTCATTTATACAATTTCTACACTATGCTGTATTGATGGTGTGGTCCACTCTACTCACTAAAAGGTCAGGTCAAAAATATTTTTAAATTCAATTCACCTTCATCCAGCTGAAGCTCAGCATCGTCTCCCCAGCCCTCGCCTCCTGGAGCTTCCATGTCCAGATCGGCAGCCATCTGACCTGCCTTCCCTACAAGAGAGAAAACACTGTTCTCACTCTGGCCACATGTTTCCACGGGTGATCTCATTTTATTTTTGAGTTTCAGTGCATTTTGAAAAATGAAAAACACTTCTCACTGGTGTACATCAGGACAGCAGTTAACTGAAACTTGTCACAATTAATCAATGGTCTTTCTTGAAAGGAACATGGACACTCCATATATAGGCATGCATATATACATATGCTGAATACATACGTCATGTATATGTGCATCTGTCATGTGTCAAGGCTGATGACTCACCCTTCGCTGCAATGGCTCCCTCAAAGAAGCCCTTTGATACAGTCAGCAGAGGCCAGTTGGTGTCCAGAGGGTTGATGGGTGGAGGAGGCTGCAGCAGCTGTGCATTTGGATCAACCTCTGGCACCTATGAGACAAGATCCACCATTATCATATCTTTAAAATAATGTGTTTATCAAAGAACAAAGAGTGACTTTATTGTGAGAGAATCTTTTCCCAACACACCGTCTCCTTTTCTGGGTCAAAGGTCTCCTTTAGCGCCTCAGCCTCTTCGTCCAGCCCATGGGTGGCTGCAGTCAGGTAAGCCAGAGACTCTGTAAACATGCACACAAACAGTTGCATGAGTTGGCTCTTTGTTTGTTTGTTAACAATGTAAAAGAAAGGAAATGCTTCCTATTGAACCTAACTGTTCATTTTGAATGATTTTTAACTCACTCTGTCCACAGTTCTTCAAGATGCGGACCCTCTCACTGACGTCTCCCAGGTAGAGAGCTGCCTGGTAGTGACCGCTCATGTCCTTTCTGATCTCAGCTACACATAAAGAGAACACAGATATTAGATGTACTGTAAGGTAACTGACACTCAAGACATGATGAAAACACAGCACATCCTTTACTACAGTCTCCACCACTCACCGATCTTCATCATCTTGCGCAGCTTGGCCAGGTTGCCAGTGATGAGGTACAGGAAGGTGAGCTTGTCAAAGTTCTTGGTCCTCTGGTAGCACATTTCCACGACCTGGTGGTGACCCTGCAGCAGCGCTGCCTCGCCCAGACGCTCCCAGCAGCTGCGCTCATCCAGGGCCTTGGCTGCCTCCAGCGCCACCTGGAAGTATTCAGTGAAAGAAATGATGGAAAAAAAAATAAAGTATTTTAACTATCTCATGAAAAAAACTGAGCAGAAAACAGAGGGACAACACAAACTAGAGTGAAAATATTATTGTAGAGGTAATTTTTGCAGAATATAATTCAGTAAAAGGTACATGTGGTGAATTAGACACTGTGTCCTAATTATACAGTTTGTCTAACAGCAACACACCTCAATGTTGCCACACTCCAGAGCCAGACTAAAGCGTGTCTTCTCATCTTTGACAAAGTGCAGCGCCACCTCAGGGTAGCCCTTCTTCTGCAGGTAGGCAATGATGGACTGGCCCACCAGCTTGGCGTTACGCACCATGTGAAGCACCTGGAGGGGACAACCGTAACAGGAATGATATCAGAACTATCATGTGTGGGAACGAAATCAGTGCCAATACAAAGTAAAAAATGTCTTTCTTATTCACATTCACACAAACAGCAATCATCACAGGCTCACCTCATCATATTTGCGGTTGACCAGGGCCAGTTTGAAGCGGTACTCCGTGGGGTCGATGGTGAGGACACGCGGCCTACACT